ATCGTACACACCTAAGCACTTCTTCCTCCTGTAACCTAGCCAAACCGAAGGTTGCTGAAAGTGTAGATGGCTTAAACATGATGACAGTGATCCTTAAATCCTCCCTAAGGCCACTGAGAAAGGTACTAATTCGAAACTCTTCAGATAAACTAGTTATTTTATTAGAAAGTATTTCGAATTGTGTCTGATAGGCTTCTACAGTCCCATTTTGCCTTAATTTAGTAAATTCCCCTACAGGATCCTCATAGGCTGAAGGTCCAAATCTCACTTCTAAGGCTGCAATAAAATCATCCCAAGTTTGGACTGGGCTGGACTCCTTTAACCAACTATACCAAGATAGGGTCTTTCCTTCCATATGGAAAAAAGCTATTTGAAGCCTTTGGTCATCGGGTGTTTTGTAATACTCAAAAAATTGTTGTGCCTTTTGAATCCATTCATCCGGATCAGTACCATCAAATTTAGGAAAATCCAACCTTAAGGACCTAGCTTGAATTCCCCCATTTCCCTCAAATAAAGGATTGTTATTGACCTTAGAATTGGAAGAAGCTTCCTCAGGATGGTGATGTGTTACTAAGGCCTCATAGCTAGATGTCAGATTAGTGATCTGTTTGAGTACTGTGGCTAACATCTCCTTCTAACGCTCCTATTCTTCACACAGGTGGGTGTTCTCTCCTTTCAGTGCTGCCAAAGCTTCAGTCATTTACGCATGCCTAGTACCTTCAGCCATTGTCGCAGAACCGTAGCTTTGATACCACTGTTATACTGTAAAATTATGTAGTCTAGTGACTGAATTGTTTATGGTAATTCGAGGTTACCAGGCCTTTTTTTGATGTTCTGTAGATTGAACAAATGACTTCTTTTTTCTTTTTTTTCTTTTGATTGAACAACATCAAACATAAATAGGTCAGGAGATAACTGACAATTACACAACGTGGGGCATTGCCCAGTAAATAAGGACTGAACAACTGACTCAAAACAGACTACAAGACTCAATAACTACCCACTAGCCTTTCGGCCCACTTACAAGGACTCAATCAATGAAAATAAAAAGCAATAAAAACTAAGTGAAATGACATACATTCAACCCATCAGACCATAACCAAATAACAAGGGTTTGAACCCTTGCACATAACATAGTCTATCGGTTAAATCTTCACCTCGTATCTTTCTCCTCTCTCGCTCCTGTGTTGCCCTATTTTATATGTTAAATGACTCACGTCTCTCTCTCTCGCAATCTCTTACGCCCCTTCCAAGTCAAACGAAAAAATCCGATAATTCGGAACCCCGATACTGATAGGAAGAAGAAGAAGCCTCACGCGTCACGCCTTGGCCTTCCTTCTTTAATTTCGAGGGTTTCAACTGGGAAACTATCTTTTAATCCGACGACAACTCTTCCCGACTTCAGATATTGCTTTGGGCGACCAGACCACTATCCACTAACGATTCCCCATTAGCGTTCATCATCTTCTTTGTTTTTTAATCGAGGTCGGTATCTCTTCCTTTCTTTCTCTTTTTATATCTCTCATGTTATGATTTGTCTGACTCTTGAATGTTCATGTTGAATTTCATTATAATCCAGTGGGAGGATTCAATTATAGGCCTGTAAGGGATTCAATCTATTTTAATTGGAATTTAGAATTCTGAATTTGTTGCCTAATTCATTCGTCCGTCTGTCCAATGGGATGTCTCCAATCTTAACTTTATTCCTAATTTGCCAGCTTCCGTATCTTTTGCCGATTCCTTCCAGTATTCACCACCAAATCAAGAAATCAAAAAGACCCAGTGCATAATCCAGTGCATTTTGCTTCCGTTTGAAAAAAAACGCTTTCTCTTCTTTCGGGGATATCATTGAAGGTAATAATACATGATCAATTTACCAACCCAACCAATGATTCTATTTAATTGGTGTGAGAGGATTTGGTTGAAAAATTGCCACCGGTATGTTTTTTCGTTTAAGACAATGAGTTAGAACTAGGTATAAACAGGTAAAAAACATGTGAGTTGAAAGAAGATAAGATGCTCCAGCACAGTAGATGTATCGTGGATCGCAAAAATTTGAAATGATAGAGAAGATCGATATTGTGGAGCTGTCAATTTTTCTTGCTGACACAACAGTAAGTTAAATTATTTATATTCTGATATTATTTTTTAGATTATTACCTTTAACACAAAACAATGATTTTTTGTGATTTTTAAGTGATCAATGTTAGTGATTAGCAAACGAAAGTGGAATGATTGTTAGTGTGTGATACAACAGTAACCACAAAAGATTAGGATCTCTATTATTGGTATCAATGAAATGCGTATTCATTTGAATGAACATTTTTAATTAGGTGATTTTATGTGTTTATAAAATGTGAAAGAGGTGATATCATTTGATTTCAAAAAGTTGTGTCTTCAGTTTTGGGGTGGTCTTATTTGAGAAGGTGACTCTGTGAAGATCCATGGACAAAAATCGACCAAATTCAAAAGAACATGAATTAAACAATTGAAGTAAATAACAAGGTGCTGAATTTGAAAGCATCCTTTAGGAAAATGAAGTTTCTCAATACATGATCTTTATAAACTTGAAAAATTTTATTGTTCCAAGAGTTTCGTTAAACAGATCATGAAGTATAGCATTTTGACAATGAGCCAGATATTAGTGCATTTTGCTTATCAGATTGCTGTGTTTACAACGTTGCCTCATCATTTTAGATCGATGCAGAGATTGCAACCATTATTGGGCATGAAGTATATTTCCCCCTTTCCATTTTATTAGAATGATGCTTAATTTGTGAGCATTTTAATTATTTTCTTTCAGTGGTTGAGGACTTTTTTGTGTTGATTTCTTAATAGAAGATGATTGAAACTGAAAAACATTCGAGAATTTTAAAATAATATCATCATGATCCCGCCCGCCGCCCATTTTTTTCTTGAGTTGGGTCTCTCAATTTTAATACATTTTTTTTTTTTTGGTTTTCTGGTAGATTTAATTAGTTCTCATTAGATTATTTGGGTTGGCCGGTAGTTAATGGAATCTAGCTCAATGTATTATTATGATTGATGATAAGCACTCATATGCATAACTTCGCCCATTGGTTAGGTTAGCTAGAGGTGAGGGGGAATATATGGCCAATAGTTGTGGCTGTTAGAAAATGCTTACAGGTTTCTTACAAAGGAATAGGCTTTTGTAGATGCCGCTGCTAAAGATGATTGGTTTTTTTTTTTTTTATGAACGTAAAGATGATTGGTTTATGTGATAATTGTTTGCTACTAATAGTTTTAGGCTTGGAGGTGTGTTTTAGCATTAATTTTTTGTTTTTGTTGGAAGTTTGTGTTATCAATGTGCATTATGATAATAACATTTAATGCTTCATGGTGTTTGACTTTTAATTTTTTTTGCAGGGTGCTAAGGAGAAGGTCAAACAATGGAAAAAAATCCAAAAAGGATGAGGGAGACTAAATGCAATGTTTTGTGTTTGAATCCTTGAAGCCATTTGGTTTGTAGCTGAACTGAACTTTCTTATTATTTAATGGAATCGGGATGTTGTTGTGGCAAATCAGTTTGTTGTGTTTTACTTTTTTATCTTCGCTTCAGCTTATAATTTCTTCTTTATATGGAGGTGGTCTTCCTGTTACTATTATTTATAATTGTTAAAATTTTCATTACTTTTTACTATAATTTGGGTAGTCATAATAAAAGAACATATCGTTCTATGCCTTCGGTATGTTTTTTAGTTGTTTGTACATCAAGCCTAATCTCTATTAATTTTTTAAAATAACACCTCTTGGATTGGTTTGTTCTCTTTTCAATTTTGTGAATATCTTTGCTGGTGCTGATAAAGATGCTCAATATTAGTTTGTTTAATAGTTCTTGAATTGGTTTGTTCTGAACTTTTGATTCTCTGTTTTGCTTGATTTGACCTGTTCAGTTTGATCAGAGTGTGTATGTTTGTTTGTGTATGTATTATGTTCTTGCTGTATTTCATGAGGTGATTTCTAGATTATCGAGAAAATGTTAAAGAGAAGAAAAAGAATTTCAGCCCAGTCCTTAGCCGACCATTTGGTGATTCGACTCGGCGGTTGACCGTGTTAGCATCTTCCCCAACCCGAAATCTATTTTCCCTCACTCTCTCATGTGCAAATCTGTTTTAATTGTTCTTGAATGTTCTTTGCAGGGTTGACCAATCAAAAAATCCATTGAAGCCTTGATAAGTTTAAAGCTCTGAGCTACAACAGTTCAATTGTGCACTTATTCAAGGTGGCGTAGGTACTGTATGGGATTGAGTCTTTGTTTTTTCGATTTTTTGTTTATGGGTCGAAAGACAACTATATTCACATTTGTTTTCTTTTAATTCCTATTAATTTGAGGATTTGAGTTTATGTATGTCCATGAGTGTTTGCACGAATTATCTATTCAATTTTCGTTTTATGTGTGGAATAATGGAAATAGTTAGAATTTCTTTGTCTGTGATATCAATGAAACAATCATCAAAGAAATTTACAAAGTTGAGATTGATTAACTTGATAACAAATAGCTCACATCAACATTGTGTAACGAGTTATTTTTTTGTGTAACCTTTTTTACAAGTTGTTTTGTGCAAAATATGAAACTACATAGTTTGGTTTTAGTGTTTGATGATTGATTGAGAATAGGAAATTGACTAATAGATGAATTTATAGAAATTTATGCTTAATTTTGAAGTTTTAGATGCAAGTATGTTGATAGGTATAAGAAAAAGTGTCTCTAGATACATTTCTCAATGTCTATAGTTATCTTTTATTTGGTATGTCTTAAATTGACAACAATAATTCTTTGTTACTTCATGCCTTCAGTCACGGGCAATTACTAGTATATAGATATTTAAACTGGTCTTTTAAATTTTTGTTCTTTTGACTATGGTACATTTTATCATAATAGTGCAAATTTGCTTAATCTGGCATGTTTCAAGCTTTGTTTCTAAGTTGTTTTTCTCTTAATTGACCAGGCATTTTGCAATTTGTGTACCTTGAAAGAAATGGGTGAAGAAGAAAGTCCACAAATTACCAGAAGAACCACAAGAGCATCCTCTTCCAACCCCAATTTGAACAGTGCAGCTGAAACAGTACTTCATAATTGCAATTCCCAACCTCTAACACACAATGACCTCGTATATGGAGATGAACCCATAAGCTTTGATGATTTGATTTGTAGTTTTCCTGGTAGGCGAATTCAAATCCTTGAATTACTGCAGCTCTTGGGTCCCTTGAATTCTCCAGTGATTCCTTTATTTATTTATGGAGGGGCATGCAGAGGGAAAACAAGCACAGTTCTTCAGATTTTCAGACACCTGAATCGACCATTTGTGTATTCGAGTTGTCTTACCTGTTACAGTCCTCGAATATTATTCGAGTCTATCTTGAACCAACTCTTGCTTCATAGGAAACATGAAGGCAATGGTTATTCAAGTGCAAAGCGCTGTGAAAGGCCTTCTGAATTTGTTAATTTATTAAGGGAAGCATTGGGAAATATAATTAATAGTCTGAAGGGGAATATGGGAAAATCTAACTCAAAGAAGCTAGTGGGACAAGCGAAAGGGCAGATTATCTATTTGATATTCGATAATTTGGAGCTTGTTCGGGACTGGGAAAAGAGTTCTAATATATTGCCTTTTCTGTTTATGCTCTATGATATTATGAAGATGCCTGAGGTGGGTCTCATTTTTATAAGTAACACCTCGCCGGACACATATTACTTCAACACAGGGTATACAGAGCCTGTCCCTCTTTATTTTCCTGAATACACAGAAGATGATCTTCGCCAAATCTTGATGAGAAATCAATGCAACCCAAAACTTTATTCCTCATTTCTCGAGTATGGATAACGACTTACTACTATCGCTGTTGCCATCAAATTCTTTTTTCATAAGGTTCAATTGATGAATATATTAATTTGGGTTTCTTGTTGAAACAGTGTGCTACTGAGGCCTTTCTCTCGAATTACAAGACGTGTTGATGAATTATCTACTGCCTTTCCAGCATTATATAAAAAATATTGTGAACCATTGAGTGACTTGGGCATTTTTCCTAATGAAAAAATGAAAAGAATGTTGTTTAGTCATCTTCAGCCACATATTGCGCCTTCCCTGAATGAGATTTTTAGGGTTGAAGCTGGACATAACAAGGACAAAGCCAAGGGAAAGGGCAATGCAAGGAAAGCGGGAGTTTCTGAAGCCTCTGATGAGGTAGAGTTTCATATGTCCACTTCTGCAAAGTATCTTCTTATATCTGCATTCCTTGCTTCGAGAAACCCTGCTACTCTTGATGCCTCTCTGTTTGATTCTACTGGGGGTTCTGATAATCGAAAAAGAAAGAGGAAGTAAGTGCTTTATCAAATTGATGTCAAACATGTATAATGCTATTGTTGTTTTGAAGGAAGAATAAGTAATGTGCTAGTTGTTTTAGCTTGAATTGCTTTTCAGAAAAATTTGCTATAAGAAGGTTTAATTTGCAAGAAAACAGCATCTACTCCCTAGTCTCCTTTTGTGCTTGTTCTTATTGAATGCAAAATTTTCAACAATTATGGGAAAAGTTTCTCCAGGAAATCTGGTTGGAGATTATTTCAGTATTCTTATTTTGGAATTGAGATAAACATATGCTCTGCAACAGGTTTTGTTTTTGTGTTACCTCAACCAATTAATAAAGCTACTACTCATGTCATATTGCTGAACGAGGAATGCAGTATAAGATTTATGTTCTTTTTTTGGCTGAAATAGTATCCCCCAAATGAGTCCTAACAATGCCATTAAAGAGCTTATGATATTTGCTACAACTGTCTTTAGTTGCTTTTTTGTACATATGGGCATGCAACTATATGTAATGCTCTGTTTGATGATTACTTTTACCCTTAAAACCGTTGTAGGCATTTTCCAGGATACTTGTTAAATATTGTTTCATGTTTCTAATATTGCTTTCAGCATTATTAATGTATCATCTACATGGAATTTCATACCCCACTGCGACATAATTTTATTTCACTATTGATGGCTTCCTGCTCAGGAGCTCTGTAAAATCGGTGGAGCAGAAGGAAACTGCAGAACAAGAGTTACTAATGAAGGGACCTGGAACTTTCCCATTGGAAAGGTTATTAGCCATATATCAGTGTCTCACATCTGTTGAAGAGTGTTCGTTTGATGAAGAACAGGGAACTGATGGCTTAGGATGTGAAAATGGAGATAGTGGATTGATGTCCGACATTCTTTTGCAACTATCCAGTCTCTGCAGCGCTAATTTTATGAGCAAAGGAGGAAGTTGTCCATTGGAGGGCTCAACTCGGTACCGATGCACAGTGAGTGAAGATATGGCTTTGAAGGTAACATTCTAAATCTCCAATTTGAAGTTCTACAATATTTGTTGCAGTGGTGATAAAATCAATTTTCATCTATTTTCTTGATTTCTTGTTTATAAACTGATGGTCACTGGCCGTTTTGAAATGTCCAATAGGTAGCAAGGAGCCTGAAGTTTCCTTTGTCAAAGTACTTGTATAGGAGATAATATGCCATGCGAGAGCTTTCTTACATTTCCCAAAGGGAATTTCGAGAAGGGAAATATGATATTGCCTACACTTCAAAGTCAATCAACAGTTAGTTTGGTGAACCATGGAAGGTGCTGGGAAAGAACAAGGATGTGTTGATTCCTGTCTTCTCTGTTTTTGGTGGATGGTCAGCATTGTACTTGCTGCCAACTGGGTTCCTGCCCTTATTTATTTAATTGATCAGGGCTTGAAAAATCATGTTTGTATTGTGATTGAGATTTTGAATGCTAAATGTTTGGAATTTTTTTATTGATGAAAATTCTGCAATTGCAGCCATTTGCCAAAATTATGGTGAAATTCGGAGCAAGATTGCTTAGAAGATGCAGTAATGAAACTTCTGTACTATGTCCTCTCATTAGCATTGTGCATTTAAAATGATCTTGCTGTGTTATTGTTTGCATTTGATATGGTTCTTATATGAGTTGTTTACAGTTTGCCCTTGTCATATTCCTGTGTATTTTTTCTGGGATGTGCTTTCTACTTCTGTACTCTGCTTCCTTAACCCATGTGATAACAGGTGTGTTGTTGAGTTTCCACCGACTAAACTTGGTGGTACTTTGTAGACTAATCATTTTGAGGACTTGCAAGGATATTTTCTTATCCGTGAACAGGCATGTCCTGTAAAACAACCAAAAACTAAAAATCTCCATGAACAGGATACATTGGTTGAAAACTCTCATACTCAACCTGCAATTAATGGATTCCCTACGCCTATTCTAATATCAACATGTTTGATTAACCATGTAGGATTCATAAAATTCTGACCCTTTTCGGCATTTCTACTTTGCAGAAGATATTTGGTTGGTTAGAAGGCAGATCTCCCTAGCAATATCTTGATTGAAATAATAAAATTGAGCATGATGCCATTATCATATCTTTCCATGTCTAACTTTGTGCAGCAGTTTTGTTGGCAATATTTCATATGGCTAATAAAATTTCCAAGGCATTTAAGTTAAATTTTACTAAATTTAACTCATTACTCTATCTGTAGTGGATTTTCTCTGATGGTAGAAGCCTAAAAGGAAATTATTTGCTAAATATAGCACATAGAGGTAGTGCAATTTTTGTGTACCTACTGATTAACATGAACAGAGTATCAAACTACTTCTTCTGTAACACCAGGACATTAACTTTGATTTGGTTTGTTATTGATATGGCTATTAGTTGGCATTATGCAGGACGTGATATTAGGTGCTCAGAAGACTGAGGCGGCAAAAGGTAGAGTGTGTAGAACATCCATGAATATAAGTTCTTGACATATTCTGGCTTTTATTGCCCAACTGCGATTTTTGGCTGTTTTGCATTGGTGATAGACTGTTCTGAAATCATTTGGGAAAGATGGCTCAAATGCTATATGGTCCCTCTGCAGCTGGCTAGTCTTCCTATTATCCAGGGGCAAGTTTGCTTACACTGTTTTAGAGAGCGTGTTCTGCAATATTCAGAGCTATGCTGGTTAGTAATTTATAGTTGTTAATCATGGTATACTAGATGTATTCCAGGGCAAAAACTATGGTCAAATTAATTTTAAATGTTTTTTCTCCCTACTTAGTAACATGTCACTAGAAATTTGTGTTCGTCTCTTATGAAACCCTATGCGTGACAAGATCTCACACAGTTTGTTGGGCTATATAAATTTTCACACCTCTGTGCTAACCAATTAGCGAAAAATAAAAAGAAGATTTTCGCGGGTGAATATTGACTTTTTCAATATTTATTTCAATGGTAGGGTTAGCCCATGACCTATTAGAATAATTGAAATTGGTCCCTGGTTTGTTCCGCCATCCTACCCAATGAATCATTAGGATTCATTTTCAATAGATATGTAAGATGATTTAAAGATTTGCTGAGCAAAGCTATTACTTGGGATAAGCTTCACAAGAATGGTGGATGATGATATGTTTCTTCAAATGTGAATTGGGAAAATAGGACAGTTTGAAGGATTTGCAACTTTATTGGCTGCTTCTGAAATTTTGTGACTTACTATGCTCAAACGCATCTGATTATTATTATTCTGATAATGCAGGACCTTCATGGAGATCTTGGCTCCTAGTATGGTTTTGTTACAATATGACTAAAGAGTGAGCAAACAAAATCTGAATGATCCAGGCAGTTTAACCAGTTGCTTGGTGCTAGATTATCCTGCCCTCCTTTTTAAGTCCCAAGAATAATCATTAGGGGGTGAATCGGATATTAAACAACGCCACGAAGTAATCTGGATGGATTCTGCCAACATGGTCGAGTTATTTCCCTCTGCTTGTCTAAAGGTAATTTCCACCTTACTTTAACGAGCAATACTAATTTCTGCCTTAATTGCATTTGTTTAACGTGCAGCACTACCTGCACTTTCATGTTACATTTCTTGAACTGTGCATGCCTGGAAAATGTTTTTGGCTTATCATAATGTTAGCCAACTATTCTTTTGATCATATAATGGTTTAGTCCAACTACGGGTGCTCATAAAAGTAGCTTAATTTGATGATTGTCGAATGATAAGGAGAGAAAAATATGCAACTCAAAGCTTGAACCTTTTGATTAAATTTTTAAGGTACTGGATAGTGAAACACACATCAGATGGTGAATGCACCGCTAGAAATCGGGCTTGAAGCTCTCAACTTATGATCGAGCCAACAGCTGACAGCAGCGGGTGGTCATGATTGCTACCAAAAAATCCTCCTCCTTTCAGTTTTGTGATCATATCTGATGGAACAAGTTCCAAATGGCTCGAATTTCCATCAGCTAAGGTTGTTTTACAGCAGAATCTGTGGCTCTGTAGTTGACTTTTGTTTTAGGATAAAACCAGTTGCAGTGTGGTTGACTTTTGGTACTCTGCAGTCTGCATTGAAGCGAGTCAAACCCATTGGTGGTGAAACTTAGGTAATGTTTATTGCGTTTGGAGGTAGAAGATAAAGATAGAGAGACTGACATAACGTATGCCAAAGTTATAAATTGGTAGGTCGCCCAACCCTGACCAGCCACAGGAGCAGCCCATCTTTCATTTATTAGTTAAGAAATCGTTCAACAAGTTTAACATAGTAAAAAACCCAGTATTAATTTTAAAGCACATTTTCTATAGTTCCTCAACCAATCTCATTTAAGTCTATTCATTGAATGCCTGAGTTTAAATACCCAGCTCTTTTCCCTGCAGAAATTAGTTGGGGAGAGAGAGAGAGTTTTCTGGTTTTGGCTCAAATGACCCATTGTAAGGTTTTGCTAGGGTGGTTTCCAGTTTGAGGTGTATGACCCTTTGTACCTTAAATCTTCAACGACCTACATTTATGGTAGTGCATCTGACAGTTAGAGAGAGAAAGAGAGGGAGAAGGATGAAATTCAAGAAACAGTCTGGCCTTAGTAATTGCGTTTCATTAACTCCTCACCTATAAATCCCCTTGATGCTTTACTTTGTTCATCTCACTCTTCTTCTTCCTGTGCTTCTCTGCCTTTGTCTTTCACCTCTCTCTCTGAGTCAGAACAATACATTTCCCATCCCCGCATTAGTTGTCCGTACAGTGGTGTTTAGTTGAACCACTGAAGCTTAAGTTAAACCAACAACCCACCTATTTTGATTCAAAATATACAATATCTGTCTGGGTCTTGCTTTTCTCACCAAGTTTTTGTGGTCTTCAACCTTATATATAGTTTTCTTCATACATATAGTGGTGTGATTTATCGGGAAAACATTTTCCCTAGAAACTAGAGGTTATCTCCCAACAATGGATATATCTTTGGCTTTACTGTTGTTTACTGCAGTCACTGCCTATCTGATATGGTTCACCTTCATCTCACGGCCATTGAAGGGTCCACGAGTCTGGCCATTATTGGGTAGCTTACCGGGCTTGATCGAGAACGCCGATCGAATGCACGAGTGGATCACCGATAATCTCCGCGCGTGTGGTGGCACGTATCAGACATGCATATGTGCCATACCCTTCTTGGCTCGGAAGCAAGGTCTTGTGACTGTCACATGTGACCCGAAGAATCTGGAGCATATCTTGAAGATCCGGTTCGAAAATTATCCCAAGGGTCCAACATGGCAAGCTGTGTTTCATGATCTTCTTGGCCAAGGGATCTTCAACTCTGATGGTGACACGTGGCTGTTCCAGAGGAAGACGGCTGCTCTCGAGTTTACAACCCGGACGCTACGCCAAGCCATGGCTCGGTGGGTGAACCGCGCCATTAAGCTCAGATTCTGCCCCATTTTGAAAACGGCTCAGCTCCAAGCTGAGCCAGTCGATCTACAAGACCTCTTACTCCGGCTGACTTTTGACAACATATGCGGCTTGGCGTTTGGGAAGGATCCACAGACGCTCACGCCGGGGCTGCCAGAGAACAGATTCTCGGCTGCTTTTGACCGAGCCACGGAAGCGACACTGCAGCGGTTTATATTCCCAGAAGTTATATGGAAGCTTAAGAAATGGCTTCGGCTCAGTATGGAAGTCAGCTTGAGCCGAAGCCTAGTACACGTGGACGAGTATTTGTCTTGCGTCATCAACACACGTAAGCTTGAGTTGATGAGTCGGCAAAAAGATGGCAACCCACATGATGATTTGCTCTCTAGGTTCATGAAGAAGAAAGAATCATATTCGGACAAATTTTTACAACACGTGGCACTCAACTTCATCTTAGCTGGACGTGACACATCATCAGTCGCGCTTAGTTGGTTCTTCTGGTTGGTCACCCAAAACCCAATAGTTGAAGAGAAAATATTGCATGAAATATGCACCGTTCTAATGGAGACCCGTGGCGAGAATTTATCATCATGGGTTGATGAGCCCTTGGAGTTTGAAGAAGTTGACCGTTTGATATACCTGAAAGCTGCATTGACGGAAACTCTCCGACTATACCCTTCCGTGCCGGAGGACTCGAAGCATGTTGTGGCCGACGACATGTTGCCGGACGGCACATTTGTTCCGGCGGGGTCATCGGTTACATACTCTATATACTCGGCGGGTAGAATGAAGTCTACATGGGGTGAGGATTGTGTGGAGTTTTGGCCGGAGAGGTGGTTATCTCCTGACCGGAAGCGATTTGTGATGCATGATTCTTACAAGTTTGTTGCGTTCAATGCCGGTCCGAGGATATGTTTGGGAAAAGACCTGGCTTATCTACAAATGAAGTCGATAGCTGCGGCGGTTTTGCTGCGGTACCGGCTCAAGGTGGTGCCGGGCCACCAAGTGGAGCAAAAGATGTCATTGACGTTGTTCATGAAGTATGGGCTTAAGGTTAACTTGCATCCAAGGGATCTAATGGCGGTTGTGACAAGTATTATGGAGGAGAGAGAGGGTGGGTTGCATGGGGAAGAGTCTCGGATCACCGTTAGATGTAACGGTAGGTGTGATACACTTAATGAGAGTAGCGGTGGCGTTGGAGTTGATGTGGTTGGTGGCGTTCTTTAAAGCTGTTTAAATTTTAAGTTGGTGGGATAGGCCCCCACCATTATTGAGTTTTGTTCACCCGTCGGCTGGATTTTATGTTATGGAAGGGGGTGGGGCAGGCAATCCTCACATGGCCGCTGTGACTTTGTTTCCTCTCAAATTACAAGGTAACTGGGGAATTTTTTAATTCTTTCTAAATGGTGAAGATCTATTCGCATCAACAAATCGGGTTAGACTCCTTTCTAATTTTAGAACAATTGGAGGATCTTTGATTTTTTTTTTTTTTTTTTTTGAAATAGAGGATGTGTCCGTATTTTAACAATTCAATTCAGTTTGAATTTTTAAACAATGAAAGCATTTTTGATTTAGAAAAAATTTGTTGACGTGGAGAATAAAAGATTTGTTGTCATGGATAAATCTTTACTATTCTAAAAAAAAAATTAAAGATCATCCAATTATAAAAAAAATTAGAGAGGAGTTAAACCCTAATAAACTCTATTTTATTGGAAACACATACTGAATTTTTAAAATTAAAAATAAATTGAATCTGCGGAGATGGATAGATCTTGGTCATTCAAAGATAGTTGGAAGATCCTTCAATTGTCTCTTAATTGGAGAAGAGCTCGGAGTAGGAATTTTCAGTCTTGGCACACTTCATGTAGGTACATTTCATTCATTGTGACACACGGATAAAGTTGGATGCAAAATGGAGAGTTTGAGAAGGAGGTTCCCTGCTGAAAAAAAACTGTCTCAACTTTGGTGGAGTTAAGAGCAGCACATCTTGTACTCTCTCTCTCTCTCTCTCTCAAAATAATCCCATCTATTCTTTGAATTCTTGTTTCTGTTTACTTTTAGCTCACCTTTTGTACTTTTTTTTTTTTAATGAAATTTCCATCTAATTGGCAGCTTGGATACGTCGTACAATGATAATAGTTATATTACACAAAAACAAAAAATATATATATATATATATAAAGAAAAAATCACTTACAGTGCACTTGAATATTTGAAATGATTAATCGAAGCGAAGATCTGGAAAATAGAAGACTTGCAAAACTAAAACAGATGGCCCATGACCACCCCTAATTCATGTTAGAAAAGCGACAACAAACTAGCAGCAAAAATATGTGAATAAGCTCAATAACGAGGTTTAAAGTATTATAATAAGATTTAAGAACAGTACAGATATTCGATATCATCAACTTTAGAGATTTTGAAGTTCATATGAGGTTGTCTTTGACAGATTGCTTGCACCTTCAAGGACTGTTAGGGATGAGGAAATGTTTAATGGGTGTAAATTACCCGGGAGTGCTCTATCTAATTTGAGTACAAGTAAATTAGAATGAAAGCAGAAGATAATAACATGTAAGCAAGTTTTTTGGGGCCAACTTACAAAATCGTCAAGAGTCGCATTTAGGTTCACGCAAACTAACCTTCATTCATCCCCGTATATCTGGTTTTACAATTTGATCTCCCCTGTTATGAATGCTGCATCTCTCCACCCTTTCTGCAGCAGTTCTAGTCAAGAATTTTCTCTCCGGTTGAAAAGAAGTTCCATACTAATGTTCCGATGATGTACAATGCAACAGCCACCTTAAACACGTCATCCCAAGAACCTGCAACAATATGGCTTGAGAATCAATATCTAATTTCTCCGCTAGCAAAGGAAAAAAAAAAAAGATGTGAAAACTAAGATGATGAACCTTTCTGTAGTATGTATCCAGTTGCAGCCGTACCAAAGACACCAGCAAGCACTCCCGCGGTGTTAGATAGTCCCAACAAGACTCCCTGTCATGGATTATTCCCAAACTTTAAAATTTTCAATCGAATATGGCAATATATTAAAATGAAGAAGGTACCATGATATAACCTTACCAAAAGACCAGTAAAAAATATTATGTCTATCCAAAAAGACAATGGGACACATTGTAGTTTATGAAGTTTGTCATATCCGTAATAACAACATAAAACATTTTGAGGTATTGGTTATTGCAATTTTAACACTTCGTTTTGCACTCAAATTAACCTTTCTAATTCATCTGTTTATCGTAAGTTTGTTTTTTAGAGATTTATACAGGGTGCAAAGTTCATAGTTGTAATTTATATTGCAAAGCAAGGCAAACCATTTCCTGGCTTCACTCATACGAAGAATAAAAGCTGGATAACTCACAGCATAACGCGGGCCAATGTCTTGATGATTGGAATAGAGGCCAGACTGTGAGAATGCATCTGATCCCTGTCAAGAAAGTGCATGCAAAAGACATTAGTTGAATAGTAGGTTCTCAAATTGTCAACAGTCTCCAAGTATGCTACTCTTTGCCGTGTACTACCCTTAGCTGTCAGCTTCCTCGTACACCACAAAAATATTCCATTAGCTGCTACAGTAGTTGTACGGCGAACTGAATAGCATTTTGCTATGAAGGAAATGACACTTCTCTACTGTTTACATTCCTCATTAATCTGATTCTAAAATTTATCTACAGAAAACATACATTTTGAGGAGATTGAAAAAAAATTCCTAGTCGAATGAAACTGTTATAAAATCAGCTCAAACCTGACTGCATGCCATGCATAGCACCGCTAAAGCAGGCGTCCTGATATTGCTCAGCTGTGTAAGAAAGAATGCAGGGCCCAAAAATCCAATCGACTGCATTATCTGCAACATGAGGGAATTGCAGCAGAATTATACCAAGATAATGTACCTCAAAAATGTGTTAATCATTTTCACATTGCTTATTTTGACCTTCAAACAATCAAATGACAGAATGGTGCCCTGTCTGTAATTATGGATATCGGAAAATATAAGAAAAAGAGCAGAAAGCAGCTCCATTTTATGAGACTATTCTCACTTTGAAGGAGTATATAAAAAAGAGTTGTATAATACTTGCCTTACGAACAACCGTTATGGACAGACCCTTGCTCACTAGTGTGTCTGCAATCCAACCTCCTATATTTGCAAACACAGCCATGGTCAACCATGGCAACACACAAAACAGTCCAGATTCAGTGAGGTTGAACTTCAACACCTGAATCAAAATCAAAGGGCAAAAAGACCTTAGTTGGTTTGTCCAATCAGTTATCATTTCTAATCATGATTCCATGTCTCAATGATTAATATTGTACCCATGAACTATTTACGTGCCTATATATTTTTTCTATGAAATTACATAAATACATACTGCTCTTCAAAGTTGCTGTTATCTTAAGTATGCTCAGCCAATATAAAAGCTGCATGCAGATGGAAAAAAGTTGGTTTACCTTCACAATGGATGTTTAACAGAATTTTGGTCATGTTAAAATCAGGGTGATGCAGCTCAAAAGTGGAAGGAGAAGACAAAAGGCCAAATGCAATGAGAAGGGAAATTTCCATTGTAAACGTTAAAAAGTTAAGTATGTCTATTGCGTTAGTTTGAACCAAACCTAGTAAAATTTGAGCAATGTATAAGTTTGAATGTTTATGGAAGGCCAGTTGCTGCAATTAAAAATTGCACAAGTTGAAAGAATGCATCAGTACACAAAACTTATCAGTAGTCCATGCTGGGCTTTTGTCCTCCACAGTTAGGAATACGAAGCCAATTACCCCACTTGGGTTGAAGCATGACTCAACTGAATCCAGCGGATTACTTCTTTGGTTTTAATTGGAGAAAATACTATTGAAGAGGAGCCTTCCCTATCTAACTATCATAAATCATGCATTAGAGGCAGCAAGTGGTAGTGATACAATGTTAGTTCTAATAAGCATCTAATAGTTTGAGAAACCCAATTAGCTTAAATATGAGCAGGCATCAAATGCTGATAAAGTTTTTAACCAGGTTTTGGGGTCAAAATTTCACCACATGCATGAACTTGAGGTCTTAAGATGGCAAAACAGTCAAAATACGTAAAAAAAAGCAAAGAACAAAAATACACAGGCACATTCCGAATCCTAAAATGTTGTCTGTACACCTGGTTATAATAGGTAGGCATCCATGTCAGAAGGATAAAAGTTCCCCAATTATGGCAGAAATGGGAGATAATGAGAGCCCAGACAGGTGCTTTCGATAATATTTTTTTCCATGGGATGACAGAGACAGGTTCCTCTGAAATACTGCCTTCCAAGATAAGCCTTTTTTCCTGGGCTGTAAGCTCGAGATCTTCCTTGGGTGAGCTATGTGCCTGGAAGAAGCAGATATAGGCAATGTTGAGGAGATAACCTCCATGATATGAAATCTGGAGTTCATTTTAGAGGGAGGACATGATCCAGATCGGTTCTTTCCCTTAACAATGCCTAAATAAAGCAAATGGCAATCCATGGTGATGAACCCGTCCTCTTATTTTGAAAGTTTATGTACAAAATGAATCATGCAAGACACCTAAAAACATTTGATCCAGTAAAAACTATGTCAAGGCAAAAAAATTTGTACTTTCAGAAAGTATTTGTGCTCCATTTAAGTCATTTAAGAGATTAAGAATGTTTGGTATATCAAATTCTGTTGACTTTTCTAGCAATATAGGAATGAAGATTTCATAATCATAACGAGAATATTCAAAGTTTGGAAAGTGGGCTTCTAAGGTTCTATTTTACTCATCTGTAAGAAGAAAAATGCACCCATAAAACTTCATTAAAACCCAATGGAAACAGAAACTGTTTCTCAATTGCTGATTCAGGGGCAAAGATTTGAAAGTCACATGTAGCAGTCAACTTCAAATTATCATGATAAGGAAGTGAAAATTGTTAACAAACTGAATTGATGCTGCACCAGAAATTGAAACTTGAGAGATAACGATGGTTGAGTTGGTGAAGAAAATCCTAAAACTTTTCCTTTTCTTTTCATGGAAATGCAAGCTGTTCTTGCAAATTGAAATGTAGAAAAAGAAGCAATCACTTACTTTGATCACCCACAATGCAAACCAGATAATTCCAAGGTAACCAAAAGAGTAGAACACAGATGGCCATCCGAAGTTGTGGATCAAAATAGGAGAAATAGCCAACCCTGTTACAGACCCAAGATACATGCCGCTGTATACAAATGCAAGTGATCTGCTTCTCTCTGAGACTGGAATCCACTTAGAGAGCATATTGTTCATAGCAGGCATAGCAACACCCTGAAAGCAAGTATACCCCTTTTGAGCCAGGAGAAAATCTGTGACTAGGAGGCATGAAATTTGTTTTATTGCCTACCAAAAACAGGCCCGGAGCTAATAATGCAGTTAAATGATAGAGAAATGGATATCGTTCCTTAAACAAAACATACCGCAGATTAACCTGAATTGTAACCACTACCACATCTGTAATGTGGTATGGCATGTTAAATGATCTAGTTCTAAAATGTTCATTGTAATAGAAAAGACACTTTGAAAGTTTGCAACAAGCATGTAAGACACAGGTACAATTAGTCTTCACTTTTAAATGTGGTGGTGCATGCTCAAGTCCACAATTTGAAAGTCAAAACAATGGCAAATTTTACACCACAGCCGATTAAATGATTTAGACAACTAAGAATGTCCAATGTGACTAGATCTGATAAGAATAATCAGCCCAATCTTCAGACTTATTGGGGAGAATGAGATAAGGGCTCCCAAACTTCTCTGCTAACTGTAACAGACATGTGATTACATGATCTATAATCTATTGGGAATGGATAGGCATTGCATCAGATCCAGTAAGTAAACGGACAAAAAAAACAAAATTTCATGAAAAGCTCATCAAATTTACACCTAGTAACAGTGTCAAAGGGATGGGTATGGTCCAATATATGAAAGCCTCAAGGTATCTTGGCAAATTGTTAGGAGTATTCAAGTTGAGCATAATAGGCAACCCCGATTCCAAAAATGATGTGAGAATGTAAAATAGATATTATAAGTTGAATTTTAACCACCATTAAGTTTAAGTTGTCCAACTCTAAGAACGTATTCCAGCAAAACAAACTAGATACCAATCCTTCTGTTCACATTGACCTTGCACTATTGCAGCTGTTGGCCACATGCACATCACCACACCAGAAAACAAATTTATGATTTGTAGGTTATCAATTAATAATGTTTTAACTCATTGTAGTGATACAGTAACACCATCAAGTGGTGCTTCACAGGTATGAGTACTGCATTCCCTAATAATAATCCTTTATTTCTTATCTATCTTACAATCCGCTTGAAGACATTTAAAATGTTAGAAGGCAGTGTTATGAAAAAAATATGAATAAGAGTAGAGTTAATGTACTTTGAAGCTAATTCTACATGCAATAGCAAAAAGATTTAAACAATTAAATCACTCGGCCATTAAAAAAATACAAATAGATAAGAACCAAATGAAGCATACAAGATGCAAACCTCGCCAATTCCCATAAAGGCACGCATGATAAGTAAAAAAGGAAGCCCAATTTTGGCAGCAAGAGGTGTCAAAACTGTTGCAACTGACCACCAGATCACTCCAAAACCCAATACTAGTTTCCCACCAATTTTATCTGCCCATATACCACCGACGATCTATTTTACAGCATACATAAACAAACTCGTGTTAGAGAAGCAGACATTGCAAGAAGTAACCTTCCATTAAATGATAATAATAGTACTGACAAGTATAATCATAACTGGCCAAGCCCAATACAATTCAGCTTTCGAAATGAAAAATCCATATAAAAATGAAATTGCAAGTGCATTAGCTTGTAGTAGGCAAGAATCAAGTTGATGTTAAACATATATATTCAAAAGCACGTTGATTACAGAGAATTTGAAGTTTTTGCAGACAAGAAGGTGAAAGTTGAGATGAACTACAAACAAGCAGAAATTGAAATTGTTACATTGTCTGTTTTCTGTATCTGCACTACAATTTCAAGATATGAAGCCATATGATATACAAAGACCCAAACAAGTGTCGATTCAGACTCAGAGCAGATAAAATACACCCTTCAAAACCCGATGCGTTGGTGCAACTGGAATGACCAAGCATTTTCTCGAGGTCGACATTAAATACTGATTTGCCTTTGAAATTGTGCTAAAATGTCATCGGCATAAGATTGAAACCTGAGTGAGCAGATAGCCCCAGAAGAAAGAAGACTGAATAAGACCAACAGTAGCACTGTTCCAGTTATACTGCTTTGACATTGGAAGGATCGCAATGCTCATGTTCACCTGCAATGGAACATCCAATTAGTCAGCATTCCAAGATATAATTTATCTTGAGTTGTCTGAATACCTCAATGTAGTATAGACACCTTGCCACTCCATCGATTCTTTTAATTGTAACACATGGTAAGATGCAAGCATGACTATGACGCAACATGGGATACTTGGATTTTGAATTTGGAAAACGCTAGACTTCACATAAACATATGAAGTATGAGGACAAAAAGCATAACAAAACAACTCACACGGTCCATGTTGCATAACAGAAATGCAGCAAAACAAAGCAGCACTATCACCCAGCGTTTTGGAAACTGCTCCCACCAAGGTTTTATTTGCTGTAACCCTTCCATTAAAGCGCCCTCACCTGACCCATCTGAGCTAACAAATGACTCTAACTTTGTTTCTGCTATGTCATACTCATCAGATTTATACCCAGCTCGGATGTTATGTACAATTGCATGCTTTGATTGCTGCCATTTCCCGTCAATTATACCAAGCTTATCCAATTTTCTTGGTTGAATCCAACAGCCGTAGGAAGGAGTTGATGAAAAACAGCATTCACGCAGACCTGTGAACCTTCGCCGCGGATTGAGTCTCTGAAACATTTCACTATGTTGCCTGGACATCAAAAGAGGATCGCCCCCTTCATCATGGGCTGTTGCTCTTGGTCCCGCAGGTTTGATACTGAGCAGAGAGGCTCCAGTTATAGAATAGCTTTCCCTTGGAACTCGCAGTCTTATGCAGAACATGTTTCTATAAACACACCGTGAAGCAGCAAATCCAAATTGCTCTCCTCGGTGATGTGCTGTGGCTTGATCTGCTTTATATGTTTTTCCTGTGGACAAAACAAAGTCACCAAACGAGCCTATCCTAAAGTTTAAAATGAGAATAAGTGAAGAAAGACAAAGTTTGATGGCATGAATGAATAAAATAATAATATTTCATCATCTCATTGTCCACTAATTTCGACACTTAGGGTGCAAGAAAATTTTCATCAGTGCCTGCAACTTTGTGGATATTGACAAGGATCCTCTCCAATGCAGTGGGCTTCTCTCAGAGGGAGTGATCCAAGGTCTCATGGGCCCCCACATGCAAGAGAACTAGAGTACTGAAGTCCAGTGTATCAGAGACGAGTTGCACACCAGTTTTTTGCATTCCGTTGGTGAAATTAACAAGAATTACAGAATTTTCCAGGAAAAATGGAATGCTGATATTTAAGCATAATGTTTGCTTGAAAGCAAATGAGCACGGAGTAAAATGTTCACCTCGTTTCATTGCATAATTGCTTTACAAGAAAACGAGAAACATGAGATTGAAAAGGGAAGTGTATTTTACATTTAGTGATCCACATTCTGAAACCAGGATTCTCTATTTTTGTTATTAGCTGAACTTTGATGATCCCAAATTCTTATTTGGCCAAATCTGACACAAATTTCCAAATTATTCATCAGATCTTCAAACCAACTGAGAACATTATTAAAATGGTCAAGTTTGTTTGGAAACTTTCCAAATTTTGGCTATATATTCCTGATTCACCACATAGCTACCTCTATGCAGACTCAAGAAATTCAAGTTGGTGGTCTAATCCAGATATGATATCACAAATATGCAGCAAATATCTAACCTTCCATTGGTCAAGCTTAAATTGATGACTAGATGAGCTCCAGAGATACAGAAGGATTGCACCGCTTAAAATTGGCACTAGTTGAAAATGTGTGAAAACCTTGCAACAAAGAAATGCGTTCTGATAGCCATAAGGATATAATAAGGTATGCAACTTTGCCACTTTCCAACTTTAGGTCTCAAATAAAAAAAACAAAAGGAAATTGTAAAGCATTTATGAATTATGACCCACTTAAGTCACAGCAACAACTACCCATATTCAGCAATAATTCTGCTTTCATTTGGAAGAAAATGTCCTTCACTTATTAGTTGTACATATAACACCACTATTGAACCAAACATACCAGAAGTCTCGATGCCCAAGCAATTAAACCAACAATGAAACGAATGTTACTTCCAAAGCAGAAGATAAGTGCACAATAGCCATTCCACTAAAGCACAAGAACATCCCATCAACTTAAAGAATTTCTACGGAACAACTGAAAATGAAAATTAAAATGTTCTAGTTTCCATGAGAACATTCAGAGTAAATGCAATACAATATACAGCACAGTTTCGACTAACTGCACACAATTCACAACAATTCCTCCCATTCCATAGGAGATTCGGATCAGAAAGCCAAATTGCGACAGTAAATTCCAATTAATCTATAAGTGAACATCTCTAACAATTCGATCACTCGAAAAATCTGTGTATACAAGCAATATCCGATTCCGAGAACAAAATGCAACAACAAGCCATTTGCTCAAACCACGAAAAACATACAACAACTCACTATTACACAAATACATATAAGAATGCTCTCGTGTATGATGTATCCATAGATCTTGACAGTGAAATTGATACCTGAACCGGTGATAGAACAGAAATTCCGGCTTGAAACAACGGCGCCGATAGCCATTGTTACCGGCAATCGTTAAAAGTATCACACTCAGCTCCAACTATGTGTTGTGTAAGCTCAAGTTTAAAGCTGCTACACCATTTCACACCTCTCTCACTCTTTCGTTTCTCTGTCACAGAGAGGATAAACAGGGACGGTTGTTCTTCATACGAATTTCTGCTAATTGTTTTTTTATTTTTTATTTTTTTTGGCCTTTCCAAAAGCGGGAAAAATCTAAGTGGCGTTGATACCAATAGAAGGTTGAGAGATTGACACGTTTCATCTTTTTGATTGAGAGGTTCTTGTTTTTTTTTTGATCAATGAGAGGTTCTTGTTGATAAGGAGACGAAACTACCCAAAAACCCCTACACGCTTGTTGAAATTACCATGATTTGTTCTGTTGGTGCGCGAATAATGGATCGTGGTATGGATATTATCGGAAAGGAAGTATGAAAATGCCTTTCTTATCGCCGTCACCGGTGAAAGGGACCTTGCAGTATTTGTGTCTCCAAAAATCAAGTTTATCTCATCGATAATCAAGTTTATCACTGTTGTTCATGATGTACAAAGTTGACTATGCCCGTGTAAAATAATTAATGAAATAAGTAATAATAAGAGATAAAAATTGAGTAATTAGGTCTCTCACTATTGAAAACGATAACGATAACCAAAAAATTTTATTAATAAGAAAATACAAGATGCTAAGAGACAGTGTCCGAGCCAAAAAAATTTTTTAGAATTGACACATTAACATGTTTAATTTTTTTTTAATTGACCGTAAAAGTTTATGAGTTTGTAGTTATTAAAATTATATTTAATACTTAAAAGTTTAATATATATAAAAGATTAAAAATCGATATGCATAACATGAACATAAAAAATTTCTTATCAAGAATGAGGCTAATTATTGTCATTTATAATTAACCTTGACATGTTTTTATTATTTGAAAAAATTATAAATCAATCATATCAACAATATTTTTTATATATAAAAAATAGTGATAACAATCTTTCATTTATAATCCTATAATTTAAAAAAATTATAAAATAACCTCATTATGTTCAAAACATATTCAGACATATCTGAAACATGTCTAAAAGTAAATAATAATATTAGTTGTACCAAATTTAAGATTTAATTTGTGAAGACCTAATAGTTTGTGACCATCGGATAGATAATAGAATTTATTAAATATTGAGATTCACTATTAAACTTAATATCACAATGCATTAGATCCTTAAATTATGTCTTAATAATATTATTCAAAAAGTTTACAATCATTTAGGTAATGGTCCATTCAAATCTATATAAAGAGAATACAATACTAGGATAGACACAATTAAATATGTGTAATTTTTATTTCAAAAAATATGTCTAATGTGAAGAAAAAAAATTGAAGGGGGGCGGGGGGGGGGGGGGGGGCACATATGCCCACCCTAGCCCAAGGGTGGCTCTGCCAAGAGAGAGAGAGAGAGATGTGTGAGATGTGTTCCCGTGTATAAGGGTTTACAATTTATAGATGCATAGTCTTAGTTGAGACGTTGATTTGAAAATCAAACTACTAATTTATCGAGGAAAATAAGTACACTTGTGGATGGACAATATTGCTCATCCACATACGTTGATTCTTCCTAAATTCTGGGCCTTTGAATTGGACCGAAGTCATAAGTTAACCTTGGATTGCCTTTTGATAATTTGGGATCAATCTACTAATTGCGTCCAGGCCTAAGTTGGGTCTGGGATAGTTAGTTGTGGTATGAAAGAAAAATGATAAAATAATTATCATAATAATGATAAAAATACTTACAAAAATGATAAATTATACTAAAAAAAAATGATAAAAAATAATTATCACAAAAATGATAAATATCTGCAAAAATAATAAATTTTTTAATTATAAAATAATTCACAAAAATTATAAAAATACTCATTAAAATAATAAATTTTGGAGACAAGATATAATTTTTTTTAATTATTATTTTGGTACCTAGTCAAGTCTCTACTGCTATGGCATCTTTTGCAATGACCCATTATAATCAGCATTGAGGCATAATATCATGAAGAGAGAGAGAAACAAGTACATAGAGAAAGCATTGAGACATGCAATCTGCTTTGGCGGTCTTTAAATACAGCAAGTAGTAGTCCTCCTCAGTCCTGAGTGTTATCAGGCCAAACTTGAATGCATTTTGGTCGGTTCTTCATTCTGTAGCACATGGAATAATTAATGCTCTTTATTACTTCTTTTTTGTTTCTAGTTCTCGCCTGCTGTGCTGGCTTCTGATGATGATGATGCATATGCATGTACAGTACGGGATTTGTTATGATATTTTTTTTGATTTATATTTTTACGTTTTTAATAATAAAATTGTGTCACTTGTAAAATTTATTTATTATTTATTTTATTATTTTGCAATTAATTGTTGTAAATCATCCAAATCAAAAATCAATGATGCGGATAAATTTTTGGGTATGAATAATGTTATTGAGACATAAAAAATTAATTTAATTTGTTAATTTAATGATGTGATAGTGATATAATATAATAATATTATTGTGATTTTATATGTATTAGATTAATTGTGAGTTTCAATGCTATTTTATTTTTTTTAGGAAGGAGAAGGGAGTTTCAATACTATATGACCTCTATTTTAAATCCAAAAGTTATAGTCGTTGATTAAGTCTTTTGTTTTGTTATAGGATATCTAAACTTGCATCGATTATTCTCTTAAGTTTGACGGCTTCCACCGTAATTTAAACTAGATTAGAATATGTTCCTAAGAAATAAAGGTGATCGACCCTTAGGAGACATGAGTGGAAGCAATGCTACATAAATTTAAAAAATAGATTTGATAATTATAATTATTGATTTCACTGTGAGTCCTATTATTTATTGTGATTTACTACCTATTCAATAGTTGTGAGTATCAAATTTATTTTTTAAGTTCATGTAGCATGACTTGGTGTGAAATAATTAAATCTAAGACTTCTATGTCACCGAAGATCATACTTCTATTTTTTAAGTCCACGTAACATATTTCATACATGGGGGTTGGTTTTTCTCCATTTCTTTAATAATTAGAGGATTCATTAACTGTTTTTTATTGTGTTTATCCAAACTAGCATATTCCATTTTATTAGGTGGAGAAAAACAAGTCAGTATTATTTTATTTAAAAGACACTTTGAATTTTTTGAAAATACAAAATATATTAAATTGTTGACATAGACAAACTTCCGTCTTCCAAAATAAATTAAATTTTTGATGAAATGATCACTCGTTAGAGTCGTGATACTATCTAAAAAAAATAATCCACCGTCACTTCCGTAAGAAACGTATCAATCCATCTATATATGAACTAAAATGACACAAATTAAATATTTTATGAATCAAATTAATACAATAAAGATTAAACTGATAAAAAATACTATTTACCCGAAAAATAAACACCACATAGCCAATAAAACCAAAAAAAATCATCTCCCAGCCCCATTTGACACCCACATAAGCTACGAACCCATCTTACTTGAACAAGTAAACTTTGAAAACATCAACAAAGGGAGTCAAATTCCATTAATTTGGACAAAATATTTTATACTAAATTTCATTTCCTTGCTGATCACAGCACATCAGTGATCAATTATATGCCAGCAGTTTCACATCAGAACTCCAAAACAGTGCTACTACACAAGCCAAAAAACCTAAAAACATATTGTCAACATGACACCTCCCCCCCCCCCCCCCCAACAAAAAAAAAAATTGTTTTTCACCATCCAAATTTACTAAAACACCCCTTTGATGGAAATCAAAACACCACTGGCAGATACCAGAATGACTCAACCAAGGGCCAGTTTTACTTCTTGGTGTACATTGATTCAACCTTACCATCATTCCCACCAAGTAACATGTACTTATCCTTCCTGGTCAATTGAGTGCACTCAAAGCCTAGAACACCAGCCAAAACCTTCTGCACATGATTAGCCACCTCTATGGGTGATTTCCCACCAGCCTTGCATGTCATCTCCTCAGGCAATCTTTCCAGGAATGTGACTTCATAGGTTGGCCTTGGATTCATGAAATAGAAATAAGGGTCCCAAAATTTGACACCACGCACCGTCGTGCCATGGAACATACTTTGCTTAAGATTCACTGCCACTGGCACGATCCTATCGCTCAATTCTGCAAACAAAGCACTGAATCGTAGCAAGAAGGGCTCACGACATGTGGTCCCTTCCGGGCACACCACTAGATCACCCTTTTCGAGGATTGATTTGATCATTGCAGCATCAGCCTCGCGATCACGGGTCAAAGCAACGGCTGGGATTGGTGATAGGAGCCTCGAGAGCTTGCTTACACTGTATGTCACACACGAAACTTTGCGTCCAAGTGCAATGGCGATCACGATGGGATCAAGCCCTGCACGGTGATTGCATACATAGAGGTTACCAGCACACCCGGTTGATGGAGGAGGAGGTGGGTTACCACGGATCACAAGGTTGATCCCGAGCATGCCATATGTGTAGCGTACAATGCGTTCTGGGAGAGGTAGATTGAAGTAAACACGAATCAAAGAGAGGACAAATCCAAATGGCAGCCAGATGTAGGTGACGAGTGCATTCAGTGGGGTCGGGCGTTGGACCAAGCGGCCATCGTGGAAGATTAGTCTAGTTTTCAGACGATCAAGTGGCACTGGAACAGCTGATTTGCTAGGGAGCACCATGTAGCCCTCCTGTTGAACATAGATTAAGCATCAACCATCAGCATCTAACAAAATTAAAGAAATGATAGTAGGTCTACCAATAGCACAGATGGTTGGTGTAAATGTTAATTGATCAATCAACTTTAGGAACCTTCTAAATTCAATGAGAGACCAACTTGCCAATATATTCATTTACCAAAGAGGGTAAAACATACTAGACTCAACCCCCAACCATAGGCCAAAGACCTAACCTCTTAATAGGGATGTGAAACTGAAACTACTTGGACCATGGTCAATCTTGGCCTTCTTTTAGTAACCGGGAATCATCTAACTGGTCTTTGGACTCATAGTTGCAATGCAAATCTTGGTTGTACACGATTAACCACAAAAGCAAAAACCACTTTACATGAACTAAATCCAAGTTTTATTTGGCCAACAAAACTCAAACTTAGGATGAATGAGTTAATTTAGGCTTCAATCCAACCAAACTAATGGTGGCAAGGCCATAAATGACCAAATAAACAAGCTTGGCCATACTTAAGCTTCTGCTAGGTGGGTAGTTGGGATGGTAAATGCAGTGGTCGTATATGAAACAACCATCAATATTGCCTCGACCACCACATTAAATAGAGAGTTGTTGGCCACTGGCGTATATGTTTAAAGAGAAACAACTATTAATGCAGCAGGAAGATGAAGCCAAAATTAGTTACAAGGCTCAATAACAACACAGTGATAATCTGAAAGAGAAATAATGGGGAGGTCAGCTGGTGGTGAAGCCACCCAGCTATGATAAAGAGCTAGATATGGCAGCTGAGGCCACCCAGCAGTGAGCAGCACCATTAAAGCCAAAGTCCTCCTAAAAAAATGACATATTTCAGATGGTTTTGTGCACAATATCAAGAAATCTTGGGCATGGATCAAATAAAGAAATACTCAATAAGAAATTCACGCATCCGTTTAATTAAAATTGGGCCCCCATCAGTCACATGACTCACGTCCATTAGCAACATAATGTGGAGTCCTCTATTCCTCTTCTAAAAAAGGAACATATAAAGATAATACCTGTAATTAATTTTCAATACTCTCTGAAAATAATTCTTAGCCATAGGTGTTTATTTGAGTTATTTGTAATTAATGGTAAAATAAAATTACAAATAATAAAATTTTATAAACATCATCTGATTGGATAAACGAAGAAAATATGGTACTAAAAAATAACTAAAAAAATTCACGATGGTGCGAGCAATGCTACAGGGCCTAATTTGGGGAGCTAATTCAATGTAATCATTGGATTAATTATAAATTCTAACGTTCGATGGAATCCATTTTCAATCCAATGATTAAATTGAACTAAATCCTAAATTAGATCTAAATAGTATTTTTAGTAGTTTAATTGTTCCAATATTTTATAAAAATAGAAAGTTTAGAGTTATTTAATCAATTTATTGTTGCTCCACAATGAAACGTCTCTGATTTCCATATCTATAGATAAAGTTAGCCAAATCACCTAACATGCATTTGCCAGTCAAACATATTTTGAGATTTCCTTTGTTTGGTTGCTAAGAAAATCGCGCTGAGTTGTTCAAACAAGCGTAAAATATTATTCAAGAGCAGAGCTCAAATCGATTTCGAAACGAATTGAATTCAAGTAGCTCATTTTAAGTTTATTTTTCTAAAGAGATCTAAAATCTTATTCAAAACAAGCAAAGCCGAGTACAACAAAATGCAACATGGAGCAAGATTAGCTACTGTTTCTTTCCGACCTTTCTTGGAAGCCAGAAGATTAGCATCATTCTTTCAAGAACTAAATTACTCTGGATTTAAACCAAATAATTTCAAGAAAAAACAAACTCACCTTGCAAATGGACATGAAATCATGATCAGATTCCCGATCCCCCAACCCAATATCAGGCTTTTCGTCCCCAAACTCCCTCAACACCGCCAATCTTTTCCACTTCCCCACCAAAACCCCTGGCTTCTTCACAAACCCTGTCGCCTTCTTCGTCTTAGGATTCACCTCGATCTCCGTCCCCAACACCTTATCACCACCCAAAAAGTCCCTCACAAACGAATCAACCATTATTGTTGGATTCGCAGTAACCACCACTTTTCTCTTACACTTTTCAAACACTTCGTAACTCTCTTGCCTCACATCGGAGGCATAGAATCTTGGAAGCACAGCGCGTGCGGCTAACTCGATGTCTCGGACTTTCAGTCCAGCAAACGATATGAAAATCAGAATTTCAATCGCCAGAGCCTCGGAGACAAAGATGTACGCGACGGCGATAATAGGGAAGGCGAGGAGAAGTAAGAGGCCGCGTAGGAGGCTACCGGCTTCAATGGCCACAAGCATGAAATAAGGAAAGGAAGAGCGAGAGATCAGTAAGGTTCCGTCGAGGTCCGCCGCTACGGAACTGTTCGCCACGGTGGAAACATCGCACGTCGTCACTGATGGAAAGGTTGTGTCGGTGGTTGGCTTCGGCGGCGACATGGGCTTACAAAATCTATACGTCTCTCTCTCTCTCTCTCTCTGTAGAGAAGTATTGAGTTTCTCTCTCGTGCTCTCTGCAACTGTTTTTCAGGGGAGGGAAGGTGTGGTTTTAAATGTGTGGGAGTGGGGATGAAATGACAATTTTGAGCTTGGCATGGCTAGTTTTAACAATTGTGGAATTTTGGAGGGTAGTTGGTAGAATGACTAAACTGTCCTTGGGTCGGTTTATCTATCACTTTTGCTCTAATAATTGTATTTTTTTTAAACACGTATCCTTTATACTTGTGATTGCGATGCAAATTTAAAATAAGAAAAATAGCACAAATTTGCATCTCAAACGAACAAGAAGAATTGAAAGAGTGAGTTTCATCAAATTTTTTAAATGAGAATCACTAATTTAATGGTCTTTATTAATTTAAAGTTACAAATTTAAATTACATAACATTGATCTTTAAGATATGCATAATCACTTGCAAATCACAGGTATCAAATCACCTCTTATAACTGTAAGACTCAAATTTAAGATCTTGAAATAGTAATCTCAGAAAGGTATAATCGAAACTATTCGGTAGATTATAAGAATTATAATTTGGGAAATTGGTTTTGAGTAAGAGAAATAATTGGAAGTTGCTTTTATGTAATAAATGCTTCATTGCTAGGTGGTCATGTGGTTCTTGAAAAACGGTAAATTTAAATTTTAGATGTTTCACACACACCTAACAAGAGAAGAAAAGGGGGCATCATTAAATTGATTCCAGCTAAGGAAACTCTGGGTGCAAATGGTTAACTTAAATGAAATGAAATGGAGAGCATTGACATGGATGGCCTTAGTTTCCCAAAATGCAGAGAGACTTCCAAGGGCAGATCCGGGTTTGTTGGTCCGGAAAGTCACGGAAGGGGCCGACTAAATGAAATACTCTCTTCGTTTTTAACTATCTTTCGTTTATTATTTTTGTACAGGGATTAAAAAAATTATTAAATAATTTTAATATGAGTAAAAAATAATTGCACAAAACTAAAATACTCTTATTCAATACGTATTAGGAAAAAAAAGAATATGAAAAGCACTTAACCTTCACTTAATCTAATGCATTGAAAAATTAAGGTTAAATTTGGATATAATCAAGTTTAAAATATTATACTTAGATTAAAAATACTCTAATCAAAAATAGAATATCAAATATTTTAAATTTTACAACTAAAATTCATATTTTATTATGATATTTATTGAAAAAAAATTAAAAATAAAAATATATATATTTTTAAAAAAAATCGTAATTAATAAATAATTATACTTTTTACGTGAATATACTATCTATTGGAATAAAATTAAAAACTCAAATAAGGAATCTGAGTCATTCATAATAGAACATGAATTTTATAACCAAAATTCATGTTTTATTATGACATTTATTGAAATAAAATCAAAAATAAAAATCTATTTTTAAAAAAAATCATAATTAGTATAAAATTATAATTTTGGCTAGTGGTATTGTAATTTTGGCCTATAAAATTATTATTTTGTGTAAAATTACAAAATCATAAGTATATATATTCTTTTGATATAATCCCACAAAATTATATTTTTGTATGATCGATCTTAATTTTCTCCATATGTGGTGGCGGACGAAGCCTCATTTGTATATACCTCACACGTTCAAGGAATGGCTTGACACGAAGAGAACAGAAAACATGGGAAAGGGGCATTTATTTCAGTAAACAGAACGCATGACTTCACATGGTATAATAATTTTAATAGGGACTTATTACTTTATCAAAACAATAAAAAATTGATACCATATTTCTAATTTTTACTATTTTAATGAATATTTTTATAATTTTTATGAGTTATTTTATAACCACAAATTTATTATTTTTATGGATGATTTACAACCGTTGTAAGTGTTTTTATCACTGTAATAGTAATTATTTTTTATCACTTTTTTCTATACAAAAAAAATTACTACTTTTGTGAGTGTGTTTTGTAAATATTTTTATTATTGTTGTGATAATTATTTTTTTTGAGTACTACAACTTTTATAAAAATACTCACGATAAAATAAAAGCATAGTACCAACAAAAAATTTGATACCATAAACAACTCCTTTTAATAGGTATGGTTGACAATTCTTATTAGGATCCCTCAGTTCAATGTCAAATTGACGCGAAATTAATGAGTATTAGAATCTGAAAAAACACAATTAATACACGACGCAAAAGCTTAATTACACATGGGTCAAAAAGGGTCTCGTTGAAGAGTAAATGTTGAATGCAATAGTGATACCATGTTAATAATATTGACGTGCTATTAACAACCAATAATAAAATATCAAGTGGATAAAGTGAACCCTACTTCGATAATTATTTACTTACATTGAAGAAGAATGAATAATTATTTATTTGTGGTTCATTATTAACTTTAGAGAATAAATTTTTGAGTTAATTGTACTAGAGGCCCCTTAAAGTATGAGTTTATTTCATTTTGCTCCCTGAAATATTAAATATATTTTTATGTGGTTCTTTAAGTAGACGACATTCAGATTGTTAAATTTGTCACTTGATACTTAAATATCAACAAAAAAATAATTTGGTTAACTCTTAACCAAATTTTAATCAAAGAGTTACTCAAATTATACAATTTTGATCATGATCTATTCAAATTTGCATCAATTGCTACCAAAATTATACATTTTTGTTAAGAGTTATCCAAATTTTGGTCAAGAGTTACTCAAATTATTTTTTTGCTCATATTTAAGTATCAGGTGACAAGTTTATGATAAAAAATTATTAAAAATCTAGATGTCGTCTTCTTGAAGGACCAAATATAAACATATTCAATACTTTAGAAATCAAAATAATGCAATTAAAAATATTGGGGATCAAAATAAGACAAACTCTATATTTTGGGGACCTCTGATGCCGTTAATCCTAGATCCTTTACAAGCGGCATGTAAACAACACAAACTCATTAAAAATTCTCATCATTAATTTATATGTTTGTGTAACTTCTCAATTTTGATTGACTGTCTGTAAACAATTGCTTACAACTTGTAAATAATTTAGTCCATTAGTTTTAATGGGATTTATTTGTTTATTTTAGTATTATTAATTAATGATATTACGTCATTATTACCACGTAATATTATTATTATAATAAATATTTTCCCCCCATTGACAGTACTAAATTGTCATAGGTATTTAATGACATTTTTGCCCTTAATGCAAGATCGGGAAGGAGAAGTAACTGAACAGAATAAAAAATTAACTCAAGTTCAAGGAATAAGCAGCAAACCCCCTCAAAAGAGCATGAACCTTTACTAAGACGTGAGCATCTTTCTGCCGTGTCAACGGTGACAAACCCTTTTTTTTTTTTTTTTGTCTTCTTTTTCTTATTTTGGTCCAAGTCAGGACAAAAACAGAAAAAGGTAATCAAATTCGATGAGTGGAATCAATTATTAACAAAGATACACGTTACGCAACGATTTTAAATCAGAAATAAAATTTTAAAAAATGACAAATTTATTCACTTTAGCAATAATCGAACTAGATCACCTGAACATAAGGGATTTGTTTTTCTATTGATTTTTATGAATATGATCAAAAATAATTATTGAATGAGATATTCAACTCTAGAGATAAATCTAAAAAGAAATCTTTATTAGTTCTATCAAGTCATCTAAAAAATTGATGAAATTGTACTAATGATGTTTATAGCACGACAAAAGCAGAGATAGAGAGTTAATGGATACTGAGCAATTTAGTATGAACTCCTAGGCTCTTAAGGTCTGCATAAAAGAATGGAAATTAACACACAGTGAGTTTATAATGGTTCATCAACTCGAGAACTCGATTAGTCCACTCTCAAAGGAAGCTCTTGCTCCTAAGACTTATATTGATGAGGAAATGAGGTTACAGATAGTTGTTCTAATTACAATTGCTTGTGTCTCTATTTCTGGGGATTATGCCCCTTATTTATAGTTGATCCTGAGCTTTGCTTGATCTTTGACAAGATTCTTGCTCTTCTTTGTAACGGTTGCTACTATCCAGCAACAATTGTGGAGGGTGTTGGGGCAATTACAATTCTTCTGCCAGGATATACGATCGTTACGATTTGAGTGGTGCTTGGGTGGAAGTCAATTGTCTTTTATACTACCCTCCTTGAGACGCAGCTACACAAATGGGAGGTCTGACCTCAAATTTCATGGGAGTCCAAAGTGAGCCGAGCTCCCAATCTATGAGAGCACGACCTTAATTATCAAGTTCATCCTTAAAAATATTTAAGGTATCATCATGTACTATCTCTAATAACTTATAAATAATTTTACGTGTACCAAAATTATGGATCAAAATTTATACCAAATCAACTGCAATTGTTGGATTAGTTATGAAATCTATTAATTCAATGGTTATAAATAATTTGGTGTAAGTTTTAATACACAAAGCATTGTTCTTTGTAATTTAATTAGAGTGAGATGTATTGTTTAAAATTTCACGGTCACCTGAAAAATAAAAAATAAAAAATTTAATAACTTTACTTTTATATGCGTTGATGGTTTGGAACAAGGGGAAAGTTACTGAAAAAACCGGTGAATAGATGGAAGTAAACAATATAATGCAAGGGCAAAATGGGTAGAAAAGCATCTTTATGAAGATATAAATGCTTTGCAAGGCGTTGAGTGTTGGAGGTTGGGAGTAGGTGAAGTCTTGAGGAAGTATACTATTTTTTTGGTTGAGTTTACACGCTGACTATGATGGACACCTGTTGAAACCATAACACTCCTTTTTTTTTTTTTTTTCCCGATAAGTAAAAGTGTTCGGGTCAATTTACGCGCACCTCAATTAATTTTTTTTCGTCCGATCAAAAGTAGACTATTCACACTCAAATTAGAGTATTCACGAAAAAATACTCTCTCCTGATCTGACATCAAAAAATTATAAAAATTTAAACTCAACATGTTTAAATTTAAAACATAACACCCTTGGCGTGACCAAATTGGCCAACAACCCATGTATCTAAATTCATCCACCAAATATCCTAAACTCCAATCAACTTAGATATTCAATCATTTTTCATTCTCCAGCTCAGTTTAAGTCACAGTAGTTAAATGCCGACTTCGAGAGAAT